TTTTTGCCTAATTTATTCACTGTATCTTCTATTATTGTTGGTCTTTGATCACAGTCGTCATTTAAAGATATTCCTAAAGGTGTATCTTAACAAGAATTTTAGGGGGTATGAGTTGGGCACTCCCCGCCCAACATTAAGTATCACGCTTTCTTAAAGAAACTCCCTTCTTGGCACCCACACTATTGCGATGTGTGCTCCAGAGATGCGGCGTTTGAATGCTCGTTACAAGCCGTAATGAATATTATAATTCAGCGTTTTTCCGCTTAACTGTGCAAGAGTAACAAGTGTTCATTTGTTTCAAGGCGGCATCTCTCCATGTGCAATCGAATTTTTTTTAATTTGTGCAAAGGACTTCGAGTTTTTTTTCAAAGTACTCAATGACCTTTTGTTATTTTAAGGTTTAGGAAGTTCGGATTGGTTTCATTGGATAGAGCTTGAAAAACGAGGAGGTTCGTCTCTCCAAGAGTTTTTGGTAGCCGCTTTCTTTTCGGAGTTATTTGCATTTTTCTGCCGGTTTTTGGGGTTCTTGTCATGTGCTAGTAGATGAGATGCGAAAAAATCTTTAGATGGTATGTGTCCTCTGTTTTCGGATGTTTTGAGACTGGTTCTTGAATGTGATGATCAAAAACGTTTTTATATGTAAGATTTTTACCCGGCCACGTGACAGCTGTTTTCTAGAGAAGATATGTTTTTGCCCAGTTTGGGTTGATCGGCGATGTTTGAGGTTTAGTGACCGTGGATGGATACCAACGAGAAGGAGGTTGGCTACGGTTTTTGGTCGGATTTTTCAGGTTTTAGTCGTATAGTGCTGATGTAAATGTATTTTGTTGGCTTTGTGGTATTTGCTTTGGCATGACTTTCGTTTGTGACGTCGGCTTCACTGCCTTTGTATCTGGATGAGTTTGTCGGATTCTTCCTTTAGCATCTAGGGTGCTGGTTGATAATCGCATGTGTGGGACGTTTTGATTGTTTTGTTAGCAACTTGTCGATGGATGTTGGAAGCAGTATTATGATGAGTGTCATAATTTTCTTCTGCTTTTTCAGAACTGTATGATAAGAAAGTGTAAGATTAAGGCGAGTAGTAGGAGTGCATGTTCTGAATGCATCTGTGGAATTTCAAAAGTTGCCACAGTCAATAGTGTAAATAGCATGGGCAGAAAGCATTCGCTGAGCGAATTGTAGAAGTAAAGCCTGTAAGGACTTGTGGGTTATCGATTCAAGTCTCGCATAAGTCTCGAAAGAGGCGATGAATATGAATAAAAATGAGTTTCTCATCATGTAATGGTTGGCTGCAGAGAAATGAGCTACAATCTGTACAAGATGAATTCACTTTTTTGCTGTCATGTCTTTCGAGATAAGAGTGCAATGTAATTGGGAGTTTTATGTTTAGTGTTGCCTAATGACTCTGCTGTTACGTCATAGGGAACGAATCTCGACAAAGACAAGATTGTACATTAGTTTATGAGTAAGTTGAATGGATCGAAGTTAGTTGAAAAGGTATCACCGACAAAACTATTTACTATTCTCGTTCTGTATTGGACATAGTGGTGAATGGCAGGCAGTTTCTTGCCAGCAAATGAAGCATTATGTTCAGAATAATATTTCTTTTTTGTTGTCTGTCTAACATCTTCATGCATCGCTGCTTTGGGCAAATAACAAATATCAGTGTTTCCATATTTCGATAAATGATACGAGACGCGTCGATTAAATTAACTCTGCATTTTTCTGTACTAATCATTTCATTTTTAGCACATCATCAATATTTGAGAATTATTTCGGCTAGGCCAATAGCTGAAAATCAAGAGGTGAGCGCCGCAGTTTAATTTATATGACAAAGAAATAGGTCAATCTGCTTTTCATCTGTATTCAATTGTATTTGGATCACGTTGCTCACATGGTTTCTTCTACTTTTAGGTTGCGAATGGCGTCTAGACCTCTTTATTTTGGTACTAGGTTTCGGAATTCGTGATACTTATGGATAACAGTTTCTGTTCTCTTTTTTTCGGATCGGAGTTAGTTCCGTCTTTTCTGTTCACATCTTCAATCTATCAGTATGGGTTTCATTATTTGAGACTTTTCAAATGCCTGTTGAAATGTTCTTGTATGTCGCCTAGAATACTATTTTATTATTCTGAGCATTCAGTACGAAATCTCTGCGTTCAATAGTGTTTGTTTCTATGATATTGTGGATTGTTTGTGCTTCCGAAAGGCTTTTCGTTGAATGCATCAATGGATTTACACAGTGTCTCTTTGTGACTCCCAATATATCAGCAAGGATCGTTGCTGTTTATTGGACATCAGATCCGATTGTTACATTGTATGATAATGTCAGTTGATTCTCCTTTTACCAAATTGACGCAAGACACATTCGAAGTACCATTTGTTGCTGATTACTATCACCTTTTTACGTACGAGTGTGCTTGTAACGATTAATTTTTTGTAATTTAAGCATTTTGATGAGGAAATTATAGTCTCCTGTTGTGATTAGGATGTATAGAAAACCTCTGTCGTCTCGAATATACTGAAGAACTAAAAATATAGAGACAAGAAGCGCTGCCGCTTCGTCAAAGTAGCTGCATTATTCGTTTATAAATGTTTCTCTAACCAATATTATTAATTCTTTCATTTCTTTTGAAATACTCATTGTTTCTTTGCTCATTTGAAAGCTAGATGTTAAGCAAATAACATCTGCTACAAGCATATCAAGTTAACAAATTTATTTTTAATTCTTAGCCTGCTAAACAGAATTTATTTTCATGTATGAAAGAAGGACAGATACGAAATGATATTTTGATTTAAACGACTGTTAGGTAATAATTGATGGCTACTTGTACACACTCTATAACATTTCTAACCTACATTGAGGAATTCAAGCATAGCTTCTGGTTGCACACTTGGTATTAGCTACTAATTGTCATAAGTAAGCAATTTAGTATGTTGTTGCTCAAGTAGAATCGTATCTCATCGAAACAAAAATAGGTATGAAGAGTATGTGCTACTTTATGTTGTTTGCTTTCTCTCTTTTTCTGATATGACAACAAGCTATTATTAATCCATGTCACTATCACATATAAGCAGAAGGCCTGAAAAATTGAAATGAACATCATATCTCATTATCATAGTTTTTGCTTTCATTTATATCAACACCAAATGTTTTTTTTTAAGATTTGGAGGGTGATTGTTACATGAGCGGTTCATAAAAAACAATGTTTTACATATGAAATCCTGCTTGTACGTATCTTAACTTATTCAGGGCTTCACAATACACGTTGTCATTCTATTTATAATAAAAAGAGGACTGTTAAAAAGTAAAATTTCAGAAATAGTTGTTAAAAGTTCAACTTGAAATTGCAAATATGAGACGTGACCGTTATTTTGTTGTCGTTTCTCCTAGGTTGTTGTCGTCTCTCACGCCTTCGGGTATATAAAGATCTGTTTTACGTGTGATGAATTCATTTCGTCGATCAACACAACAGTAGCAACATCGATTCTTCTACTATGAGTTCCAGAATTTTTATTTAATTCTTTGTCATCAATAGTAAAGATGTTTGTCTCGATGTACTATGAGAATAGTACTACTAGATTGGTAGAAGTGTCTTAAGCGATTGTGATGGCCAGCGGCCATTTTAGTACTATATGATGACTTCCTCTTCGGGTCAAATTTTTTCAGTGAATTAAGTTTCTTGTTAAAAGACATTTCTTCGAATCTTTCTGTGGATTCAGATAGTTTTGCGTAAGGTCACTGTGGCTGTTTGAAGTTGCTGTCCCATCGGTCGGAGCGAAATCAATGAATGACTTGATTATCTCCGTTTGTGTTGCAGTGCATAAAATAATTTGCTAAAAACACAGCGGTTTAAGGTCAAATTAAGTTTTCTTACTTAGGTTTTCATTTTGAAATTGTCGTTGAATTATAATTTTTTTCTTGCTCCTGTAAATGTTTGGAAGAGCTTTTTGTTTGACACTATTATTCTTTTCATTTTTATATAATGTGGTTTGGTGAAAAAATTCTTTGCTCTTTCTTCGATCTATGTGCCTAAGGGAAGACTGACAAACTCCATTTCAATCCAAGAATATGGCAGCTCCTTTACTGAGAATTTTTCTTCGATTTCCACGTTTCTCAGTATTCTTATATGATGAACCTCTGGCAGATAGACTTGCTTAATATGTTTTCATCTCCTGGTGAGGTTGATGATTCAACATAGGATTTTGAACGCATGCCTTTTTGTTCTTTTCACTTACCGAATTCAACTCTATTGTTACAGTTGTCAGGGATGAAGTCTGGTTTTCGTTGTATAACTATGATATATAACTTCACAGATACAAAATGTTTTCGCTATAGTATTTACATCTCTCTTGGTTTATTTACATATATTCAATGACTTGTGAAAAAAATTTGAACATATTTTGTAAATTTTAAATTGACTTTTTTCCATTTCATATAGTACTATTCTACGATATATACAGATCAGTAACTTTATCACATTAGTATAAAAAACGGTAAACGATATGACAAATTTAATTCATAAATTTCATCGGCTTATTCACGAAAAATACAATGATACAAATGAGATAAGTTCATTAAGGGGAATGATTTATCTTGACGAGAAACGCTTGTGGTAAAAATTTCATCCTGATATGCCTGACTAGATTGAAGTTTCGGCTTGTTTTCTTACCTCACAGGAGAATCGAAATAACCACTCGTTAGAAAGGGTACAGAGCTCAGGCTGGTTTCAAATTGTAGCTAGCCTCTGTACACAATTTTTCATCAGACGGAATTTTGAAACTGCCTTCCATTTACTTTTTATGAGCAATTTTGTGGATGTGCTTGCAAAATAAGCATAAAAAAAGCTAGTCTACGACAGTAGACCCTACTTTTCTCAGCCCTGAGATCCAATATAAAAAATCCGTCCAATGAAAAGTTAGCTCTGCTTAAGATCTTTAAAACAAAAAAAATCGGTTATATGCCGAGTCAAGTGGAAGTTATTTCAATTTTCCTGTCTAGAAACCGTGTTTTGAGAAAAATGCTAAAGAAGTTTTAGAAATGGATTTTTTCATTTAAATTCAGAACAAATCATATTACAAGGATATATTCCATTGTACCGTTTTAAGGGACGTAATAGATGAGGGTAGCTAACGCCATCTATCACACTGATTAATATAAAAATATATTATTCAATGAAAATGCGAGTGGGAACGCAATTTTTCTGCAACTGAAAATCTTTAGAAACCACGGGAATTTCTCGCAAAACATAGTAGTAGATTTATAGTTTCATGTGAAAAGTGTTTTGGGAACATATCGGTGAAGGTGATGTTAACTTAATACTTCTATCTTCCTCTGTAGGGCAACCAGAACGTATTCCAGTTAATGAACAAACCATAGATGATCAATGTTTTTAACGAGAAGTAACGAATGCTGGTGGTATGTTATTGGATATACTCAATAGTAATGCAATTTATTGGTGTAAAAAAAGTGAAATGGATGACAAAGTATTTCAACATATGACACGAACTGGTACTTATTTATTAATTCAAGAATTGAATGCAACAGATTTGAATAGTGTTCAAAGACATTTAAGCAAAATAGTCGAAGAACTTACTTTATTACTAAATGATTTACGTGAATGTCAGTGTCTGACTGATATACAAGTTCAACAAATGACTGTTCAGTGATCAATGGTTCAAATCGATTATCTATACTTTTTACCGGATGCACATCAAGTAAGTATTCTTTTTTGTTTTCATTGTATTCTTTTGAGAAAATGTGTTTCTTTCTGTATATAAAGTGCTATACCATTTGAACCTGTCATGGTATGTTGCTTAGGACTCACTATTGATATATCTCGTTGCATCAGCCGTCTTCTTCAAAATATCTATGATCAATCGACTCATTCAACAACATTTTTCAAAGCTAGTAATGTTGTACATGCACTAGAAAACTATACCACAGAAGTTCGTTTATAATCAAATACATTTTTTTTGCTGCTGTACACGTCAATGATTTCTGTAGACTTATACCTCATGAGCAATTGACGGAACCCTTACAGCATTTTCTCTATGATTATGTACCAGATGGACAAGTGCAAGGATTAACTGTTGATACTATTATTGAGTTAGTTCGTTTTGTTTTACAAAATCAATGCTTTTTTTTCGATAACAAAATTTATCGACAATTTAAAGATTGTGGTTTTGGTCAACCGTTAAATCATCTATTAGCCAATATTTATATGTTCTATTGGCAACAAGATTCAGTTAAAATATTAGTTAATCAAAATGAAATATTTGGTCGATATCTTAATGAAATGTTTTTTTACTTGGAATAAATTAAAATGAGAACTTCACTCACTTCTTAAGAGAATGGTTCGTCAAAAAAATCCTCATTTATCTATAGCAATTTGAACTGAAAAAAATGTCGCTTATCTCGATGTTCAAATAAGTCATATTAATAGTCAACTTCGAACTATAATTAATCACGATAATGATATTGAACCACATGGATTATCTTTTATATCGGATCATCCACCTGTAATGTATTCAACATTAATTCAAGTATGTCTTATGCGTGCAGCATTAATTCGCTCCAAAGTATCTGATTTTCACAATGAACGCTGTGATGTTCAAATAGTATTTTTAACTAGCGGCTATTCAATCAATTTTATACAAGAACATGTTGAGCAATTGTTCCAAGATTTTCATATTTCCAATTGGAAATCAAATTTAAACCAAAATACCTATGATAAAATGCGTGAAGAAATTATCCAGTATGATCAACAACATCAAAAAATGAAAATAAAACAAAGATGAAAACAACAAAGAGAACAGCTATGCTACATTACATCTGATTTAAATGGAGAAGAGCTATACGATTTTCAACAAAATATTAAAACCTTATGGGAAGACTATTTGAAAAATCAACCACAACTCAATAATATAAACATTGAAGTCATTCATCGACCAAAATATCGACGGAACACAAAATGGCTGTCTATAGTTATGAAATTCAGAGATTTTTTTATTTCTTTTGTTATACATTACGTAGATGGTTTTTTTTTGTAAACTTTACTAAAACTAGATATCCCATAATTGTTGACTCCTACTTTTTCGAGATTTAATGTTTTCTCTTTGCATTTTAGATATTTAGTGTTCTGTATAAATGAATTATATTGAAACAAACAAAACAATGACAACAACGAAATCAATTTTAAAAACATCAAGTGAAGATGCTCATGGTCACTAGCATGAATTACTTTCACCAACACAAGTGTTGACTGGACAACAGCAAATACAGGAACCAGCACAACCACAGAAAGGCGAAGAGGTAAAACGCAAGGGAAAAAGCCGCGGTGATGGAAAAGCACAACGTCGGCGTGGATTACTTCGTCGAAAAGGTTTAGATCCAGATTGACTCACCGATTTAATTCAGCCAAACGTGAGCCTTCAGAAAAACCAGAAACAAATGAAAGAAGATGCTAATGATCGTATACAGGTCAATGTACCAGTTGATCAAGTAATATCTACCTTTCTTATTAGTAAAAGAATCAATCAAACGTAAAAGAAATGAAATATCATCAAAACAATCATCAAATACAATTGATAAGTCTTTAAGTCAATTATCTATTTCTCAACCATCACGAAAAAAAAAAACAAAATATGGCCAATAATGAAATTGAACAAATAACTACAAATGAAACATCAGACAAGAAATGTTCAAAGTCTAAAAAAGAAATTAATCATAATAATGACTATTCTTATATATCTGATTATTTACAAGTAACCAATCGTATATTTAAACAAATGTTAATCAGTTCATTAGAAGGTGCTTATAAAATTGTTAAACGATTAAATACAAGTAAAAAAAATTAACTATATTCGTCAATATGTTTATTTAATACATCGTCTATCCTATGTACAATTACGAGAAAGTCAATGGAAGTATTATTATGATATTAGTATGCAAGAAAATATTTGGTCTGGTCGAGTATCAAAAACATGAGCTGCTATGAATAGTATGCATCATACTTATGGTTGCTCAAAAACATTAATCGTACAACGTCTAACAACTCTTCAACGACAATTTCAAGAAGCATCACAAGCATTACAAGAGTTTGGCAATCCATTATTACCTCAATATCTATCTGAAATGAATCATCCATTAAATTTTACAACAATGTCACCAATGGTTACAGCTGTTGTCGGAAAAGGTCAACATAAATGAAAGCAACCATTTGAATATAATAAAAAAATGTTAAAATTAGACTCAACAGATCATCGTTTAGTACAATATGTTTATGATTTGAAACCTAATAAACAACAAATTCGTTCTATTCGTAATATATGGAAAGCAATTTATAATAAACAAGCTTGTTAGCGCAGCTTCTTTGGAGCTCAAATGTGGAACTTTCGTATATCCTTCAAACCTATTATCCGAATGCATTATTTGTAAACTAAAAAATAGTTGTTTTCAAATAATTCTGAAAGTATTGAAATATTGTATAGAATCTGAAGCCTTTTGTGCGCGGTTGCTAGGTTTGTAATGGGGGGTATGTCTGTAATGTCCCCCCACACCCTATGTGTCTGTAATGGGATGGAGGAGGGGGAGGGTGGGGGGCCGGAAAACCTTGATCTTAAAACTTACATCCACTATTTTCTTCGAAAATATACGCGAGTTCCACAAAACAAATCGAAGAACAAATTGAGATATTTTAATATCACATCCATTCGAATTGTTTACCACCAGCATTCAATCTTCTTGATTATTCACTTAATAAAATTGATAAAATACCCTGCCGATCGAAACAATCTTCTACTAACGATGATGATAACAAGCAACAAACAATATTATCTGCTCGTCGTTTCAAAAAAATTGGCCGATTTAAATATGATATGCTTGAATTAAATATAGCAGCTGGTAAAGAAAAAGTACGCTATTGAAAGAAAATAGCGAAAAATGGAAAAAAAGAAATTGGTAACTATTACTGATAAATTGAAGATAAACAATTCAGATTGAGATATATTCAAACAACTAATGGTAGCCATTGAAGCACCTGAAAAACATATGATCGAACGATCTGATTATATTACACAACAAAAATTGAAATCTTTTTTCGATGAAACTCTGGCGTCACACGACGATACAACGAACAATGATGGCATCGGAGCAAATCAAAATTAAATATTCGAAACCATACGGGTATGTTTCTTTGTTTATATTTTGCCAATACTATTATAACATTATCGAATGAACAATTGCTTATTCCCATGTAAACACTAAACGCAGAAACTGTGCGTTTAAAAGCGTTTTTCTTGTGAAACACGACTGGACTCAGTCAAAAGACAATAAAAACCACGTCTGTACGCGATTTTGCGCAGACCGCATCTAAACACGGCTGGACTAAGACTTCAAGCACATCTCAACGTGTTTTGGTTTGGAATCGCGTCTCCAGTGAAACATTTCTTGTGTCTAGACGCGGTTTTACTTGCAACCGCACCTAGATGCATTCCATTGCTTCGATCAATATACAAACGAAACGCGATTGTGAAACTCGTTTATAGGAAAAAATATATAAAAGATTCGTTTTCTATTCACTAGAAAATATATATCACAGTTTTTTTATAAAATTAATTTAGTTTGAAGTATATAGAGTTCTCAAAAAGTTTAGAGTTCTTTTTCTCAAGAAAGACAGAATGTATATATTTTTTAATCCTAAAACATTGGTACTCTAAAATTGAAAATAATGAAATTTTAGAAATAATATAACCAAATTTTTTTCCAAAACGAATAGTTTCCATAATTACGTAGATATTTTTAAAATTATGTAGTTGGATTTATCTAATGCAAAGTCTTTTTTTTGGAGAAATAAGTATATTTTTATATACAGCACCTCATTGGCATATGTATCTATGAATAAGTTTATAATAGACGATGCATATATAGATTCTGTTTCGTTCTACAACTAATGTGATCACATGTGGCTCAATGGTGTATGTACACTTGCTTTCTAATCGCTAGTTTACTTGGTCTAACCTCATTTCTATCATTTTAGAAACATTAAAATTTAAACTTTCCGTTGGCCTGTAGTTAGGTACAGACGATCGCTAAGCAATATTAATAGAGAATCAGATCAAACCTGAGACGGATTGTAATACATTTTATAAATTTGAAATATCGATTCGAACGCGTTTTGATTCAAAAAATATTTACATGGGTTATTAAAAAAGGTTTGAAATTTATTTCACCCTGTCAAAGGCATTTCTTTTATCGACAACCTATGAAAAAAATTATTGAACGAGCATACAATCACCTCTATAATGAAAATGTTAAAAATCTTACCGATTACATGTTTTCAACGCGTGATACACGTGCTATTGAATATTTTGCTGTAATAAAAAATTTACTTCAACAGCTGTATACGAAACCAATACCAAAAAAACTTGAAAGACGTGCTCGATATATGTATAAGATGATAAAATCAATGCAACGACAATTGTGCAAAGCTAATATTGCTGTCTGACAAACTGATAAAAGCAAATTATTTTTCTTTATTGATCCACATGAATATGAAGAAAAAATTAAAAGTTATATGACAAAAACAAACGCATATCAAGAAATCACCAGTAGCGTTTATCCATTAGCAGATGATTTACATTCTGTGTTAACTTTACTTGATGATCTATTAAAGCGTAAAAAAATAACGAAAGATCAATATTAACAAATATATACAAATCTAAATACATTAGAATTTGCTCATATTTATTTCAATCTTAAAGTACATAAGGTAAAATCGTTAGTTTGTTATCTAAATGTTTTTTCTATCATATGTTTCTTGTAGCCTGAACTATCAGTTTGACCTATTCTTGCTTTAATTAATGCACCTGCTAGACAAATATTCAGTTTTCTTGATCAACTTCTTACTCCAATTTATAATCATGTGACAAAAGATATTACACTCATCAATAGTAGAGATCTCACCTGAACAACATTATCTATAACTTTTCATGTTGCTGATTTATACACAATGATACTACATGATGGCACTATTGCTGCTTTAATGCGACTCTGTAAAAGCTATTCAATAAATGTAAAAATTGGAAATCTCAAAATTTTAAACTATTATTCAATTAGCATGTGTTGTTTTAGATACCAATTCGTTTGCTTATAAAGATAAGTATTATCGACAAATTAAAGCGTATGATGCCTTATTTGAATTTCCGGTAGCTTGTATCATTTTTTGTTGATGGATATAGAGTAGGTATAGGAAATATTGAAGATATTGATTAATTGGTGCAGATGATCATTCGATAGTATTTGAATTTATACATCTATTCATAAAATATATTGGTGTCACTTGCCAATCGTTGCTCGAAAAACTCAATTCCTATACCTCCTATATCTTGATAAACAGGAAACTATAGGAATATCCGGAAATTCAAATAAGGCATCTAATTAATTAAAAGTGGTGCCATGGGTTCACCATTTACTGTTTTTAGCAAATATTTATATGTTAGAATGAGCGCAAAAATTAATTCAATACCAAAATAGACATCATGAAATTTATGGACGGTTAATTTTGCATTTATTAGTTACTTTTTTTATTACTCTAATAATCATAAATATTTATAGATATATTGACGACATATTTATGACAACTAATTTATCCAAAGAAGATATTCTGAAAGAACTTGATGAAACCATTAAAACAGATTTAAATGTTAAAATTAGTACTACTATCAGTCAATCATTAGAATATCTTGATGTTACTATTGAAAATAATAATGGACATTTAAAAATATCTATTTATCATAAATCAGCTTTAGAACCCTATATTCTACCTAACGAATCTGATCACCCAAGACACGTTCATGCGAATATAATTTATACTGCATTAGTGCAAGCTGCACGTAGCTGTTCCAATATGGAAGATTTTGATATGGAACGATTAAGTACGGAAATGATATTACTATATAGTTAAAGGTTATCCAACCAAAATTTATACAACATCATATAAAAAACATTCTTTGTTAAATATGATTCTATGAGTATATGGACTGAATTAAACAGTGAAGTCTATCAACAACTACATAATATGTTACCTTACAGACCAACAAAAAGAGAAAAAAAAAGCACAAATTTCGAGTCTTTGTCAATTAATTCGAAAAACGAAAAACTATGAACATAAAAATCAAATTTATCTTCATTACACGTTCGAAAATGGACCATTATTAAATTTCAAAAAAGAATATCATCAAATATGGCAAAAGTTCTGTTTATCCAGGATCACATTTCAAAAATACACGACCAATTCTTGGTACAATATTAAATCGTACTTTACAAAGTCTTTTGATACGCAGATAGCCTTCACAAGATATGTTTACCAGGATGCAACCAACCACAGAAGCAGCTCGTACAACAATGAAAGAACGGTTTAATCATTAACATTTGTTTCTTTCAGGCATCCCAATTGTGAAAAGTGTTTCCTTCTTGTTTGTTCGCTTCTTTCTCAGTTTTGTTCTCAATAAAGGATATTCTGTTATTATCATTAGATCTTGTTACTAGATAAAAATTGTTTTTTTCTTCCTGTTTATTTTTCTCTTAAATACGTGCAACATGTCGAATACAACCATTTATTACATTTTTCATTATTTAAGCTCAGATATTTGACCATTGAACATGTGAACCGGTACCATCTTCTAGTTCATGTTTCGTTATTTATCCTTTTTCTTTCTTTCATTTGATATATGTTCACTTTGAAACCAGACGTACTTCATACTATCATATATTCTAGATATATACTAATCAACACTATCTACAAACAATAATCGCAAACACATAATAGCAATATATAAGCAATCACTGTAAGCAAATCATAGTTATGACAAAACTGATGAGTGGCCATTAAGCAAGACCGAAACGCGTCGTAAGGATGCTTGGTAATCTAAAAATTCAATTTTATACACAACCACAATGAACCAGATTATACAAAAGAATACCGATGCACCATACAAGCAATTTTCCCCTTATTCGTCAACTCGCACAGGAACACTTTAACAGTCAAATATAATTTCCTCTATGTCTCGAAAAAAACTATAAAAAACTAATTGTAGATTATCTCTCGTTTCTACGAGCTTAATATCACTCGAAAAGAAACTCTTGTCTAATCATATGATGAGAGCATCAAGGAAGAGCGAAACACATCACCGTGTGCTTGGCATATTCATGCCATGCACCTGACGAGATTCTTTGTCAAATTTAGACGTATTATCATAGCTTCACTTGGTATTTCTTATCTTCATGTAAAATATTTTAATTATCAACATACACTCACACACAAAAATAGTTAGAAGAAATATTAGTAGCGCTAAGTAGAAGTTAGGAATAATGAATCAATGAAAAAAAAGTTTAAGGCAGCAGTGGCAATATTAACAGGTCTGTAAAAAAATGTTTAAATTGTCAGCACCTTCGTTGGCAACGACGAAATCCAATTTTCCATCATTGTCTAAATCATTAACAGAAATTGAGAACGGAAGAGATCCATAACCGGTCGAAAAAAGCTTGGCACTTGTGAAGAAGCCATTCCCATAACCAAGCAACACACCTATGTTGTTTGTGCCATAATTAGCAACAATAATGTCTAGCAAGGTGTCATTGTTGAAATCGCCAACAGCAACCGCGTTTGGTTGAGAGCTAAAACCGGTTGTAAACGTTTTCTGGTTTGAAAACGAGCCATCACTCCATCCAAGAAATATACCAACATTGTCACTGCCAAGATTCGCGACGACAATATCAAGTATGGTATCGTTGTTGAAATCACCAACAGCTATTGACCATGGAGAAGAATCAGCTGCATATGCTACTTGATTTCTGAAGGAACCATTGTCATATCTTAGAAAAATACCGACGTTGTTAATGCCTGAATTCGCTACTGCTATATCCATTTCATTGTCATTGTTAAAATCTCCAATGGTGAATGACTTAGGGCGAGATCCATTGCCAGTTATGAGTCTCATTTGCTTAAAAAACCCTTCATTAGGATATCCCAGATATATACTGACACTTTGCTCATTATTATTAGCGACGACGATATCCAATCGGGTGTCATTATTAAAATCGCCAACAGCTACAGATGAAGGACTAGTGCCAGTTGAATAGATCATTTGATTTGTAAAAACACCATTGCCATATCCAAGAAAAACACTCATAGTGTTGTCATTCCAATTAGTGACGACGATATCCAATAGGGTGTCATTATTAAAATCATCAATAGCTACAGAACTTGGTCCAGAGCCAGTTGAATATTTCGTTTGATTCGCAAAAGAGCCATCACCATATCCGAGAAGGATACTGACAGTGTTGTCACCATGATTAGCAACGGCAATATCCAATAGAGTGTCGTTGTTAAAATCACCTACAGTTACAGACGCTGACACAGCACCAGTTGAATATGTCATTTGATTTGCAAAAGATCCATCGCCATATCCGAGAAGGATGCTTATAGTATTGTCACCAAAATTAGCAACGACGATATCCAGATTGGTGTCGTTGTTAAAATCACCAACAGCCACAGAGTATGGTTTAGAACCAGTTGAATATGTCGTCTGATTTGCAAACGAGCCATCGGCATATCCAAGAAGGATGCTTACAGTGTTGTCACCCCGATTAGCGACGACGATATCCAGATTAGTGTCGTTGTTAAAATCGCCAACAGCTACAGACCTTGGGGCAGAGC